CTGTAGTGTTGGTGGTGTTTTCACCAAGTAAAAATAGGCGTGGTGGCATCTTTACCTGTAATCCCAACTACTCAGGAGGGTGAGGCAGGAGAATCACTTGAACCCAGGAGGCGGAGGTTGCAGTGAACCCAGATTGCACCACTGCACTCCAGCCTGGGTGACAGAGCGAGACTGTCTAGAAAAAAAAACAAACACGTACCAACTACGTGGGAGAGGCCAATGTTAGACTGAACATAAAAGAATTGAGAAAGTACATATTCTCTGATTTCATGAGGTGACTAAATTTTATCAATGATTTAATTATATTTTCTAGAGAAAAATTATCAAGAAAAAAACTGATGTTACTATTCCTAATTTGAAACCACTGACTGTATATTGTGTGAAAGCCAGAGCACACAGCATGGATGAAAAGCTGAATAAAAGCAGTGTTTTTAGTGATGTTGTGTGTGAGGAAACAAAATCAGGTCAGAATCTTTTATTATCTCTTTTAAAAATGTGACTAGACAGAATAAAAGTAATTCTATACTGAACACTGAAAATTGTAAAACATTTTCTCTTTACTGCAAAAAATATATAGAATGTTTTCTTCTTGAACTACATAAATCAAAAGTAGACTTTCTAGAAAATATTTGTAAATGCATAACTCTCAAGTTGGTGTTGTTGGATGCTTTATATTTCATCCAGTAGCCCTATAATTAATTTCCTTAATTTATTGCTCTTTAACATTTAATAAGACTATTAGTTTAAAATTTTAAAAATATCCTTAACATAATTATCATGTAGAAATCACTTAGTTCCATTTTGAATTTTTTTAATGTGGGAACTGGTTTAGTCTCATTTTCTATTTTATAGTTTCTAGTGTTGACTGGTAGAGGCTTAGTCACAGAATATCTATTAAATTTTGCTAGTTGTATGACATACGTGTAAGTGCTGAAGGATACTTGCATGTTTGGCCTGTATGTCAATATTGTATTTCTCCCTGAGGATCTCTTCAGTTCCCACGCCAATCTTTAAATGTAAATGTCATTGTCTATGGTTGGTGTGGACTCAGTGCTACCAGAAATATTTTTAAGAGTATTATTTAATAGATTTTATATTTCCTTTCATATGGCTTGTCTTTCACACAGCTGTCAGCACTGTTAGGGCATTTGTATGTCAAAACATATAAATATCATGTATATCTTTTTAGGAAATACATCTAAAATTTGGCTTATAATTGGAATTTTTACTGTATTACTTGCTCTCCCGTTTGTCATTTATGCTGTGAAAGTCCTCTTGAGATGCATCAATTATGTCTTCTTTCCATCACTTAAACCTTCTTCCAATATAGATGAGGTATGTTACTTTCTTTATATTTTTTTTGTCAACAGCTAGGAAATGAACAGGAAATGTGTTTGATTTCAACAGGATATATATAGGTTTTCTTGATATCCAGAAAATAATAGAGACTGATTTGGGTATTTTCTTCAAAGTTTTAGCCAATGAACTTTAAAAACAGTAATTTAATATAAGTAATAACATAGCATGGGATAGTAATGATTGTCCTTAATTTCATATTTTTCTGGCAATTCCTAGATTCACTGTGGCATTTGTTTTACCATTTAAAGCCTGTGATTCTTGGCCAGGCGTGGTGGCTCATGCCTGTAATCCCAGCACTTTGGGAAGTTGAGGCGGGTGAGTCACTTGAGGTCAGGAGTTTGAGACCAGCCGGCCAACATGGAGAAACCTTGTCTCTACTAAAAATATAAAATTAGCTGGGCGTGTTGGCACACACTTGTAATCCCAGCTAGTTGGGAGGCTGAGGCAGGAGGATCACTTGAACCCAGGAGGTGGAGGTTGCAGTGAGCCGAGGTCGTGCCACTGCACTCCAGCCTGGGCGACAGAGCAAGACTCTGTCTCTAAATAAGTAAATAAATAAAGTCTGTGATGTAATTCTTTTCAGTGCAGACAGTCCCCAACTTACGCCGTTGGAATTATGTCCCACATTTGTCAGGACATAATTCCATTGTAAGTTGGGAGCATCTGTATATATCCAGAAGACTGAAATATTCTATCAGTGTAGAAAGCATATTATATAGGTGAAATCACACAAAATGAAATAAAACATGAGACTTTTTTTTTATGACACATCACAGTTTTTTGTTTGGCACTTCTGTGAAGTTAGCATACTAAATGAAAGCACTAAATGGTGAAGGCCTAAGCATAGAATCTGTTCCTGGGAAATGATGCACTCATCTAGGGTGGCTTTTATGAATTTGAGCGAGTCACTAAGGGCAGGTAAGCAAGTACCCTTGGCTGTAAACTACCCCGTAGAGGTGTGAGGAACAAAGGAGATAAACCTTAAGAGCCTTACCACTCTAAAAATGCTCAGTAAATATTAACAATTTTACTGTTACACCGCTGAGCACAAGAATGTCATTCTGTGTACTCTAATATTCATAGCTATTATTTAAAATAGACTAAAAACTAGTTACAATAGCTAATAATTTCTCACTTGTGCTTCTTTTGGATATCTACGGGTTAGATACAAACATTTTTATTATTTCAAAAAAAAAAATGTCATGACCCCAGAGCCCTCCCACTCCTGTCCTTTCCCGTGTTCTTCCCCGCCTACCCCTGATGGCACAGTGTACCTTTCTTAGGTACTTTTCAAAGACTCCCACAAAAGGTACTAAGATAAGAGTGACCTCACTAATGATTTTAAACATTATAAGGCAATTAGTATGTTCTTAGGTGACTTTTTAATATGCAGACCAGAAAATAGGTTTTCTCAGTAATGGACATAAGAAACTAAAGCTATTATAACTAGAAAAGGAATTTTTATTATTTTAAATAATTGATTTCTACTCTTTCCCTTTTTTTAAATTAGTATTTCTCTGAACAGTCATTGAAGAATCTTCTGCTTTCAACTTCTGAGGAACAAATCGAAAAATGTCTTATAATTGAAAATATAAGCACAATTGCTACAGTAGAAGAAACTAATCAGACTGATGAGGATCATAAAAAATACAGTTCCCAAACTAGCCAAGATTCAGGAAATTATTCTAATGAAGATGAAAGTGAAAATAAAACAAGTGAAGAACTACAGCAGGACTTTATATGACCAGAAATGAACTCTGTCAAGTATAAGGTTTTTCTGCAGGAGTTACACTGGGATCCTGAGCTCCTTGCCTTCCTCTCAGTAACTACAAAGAGAACATTTCCCTGTTTCGGGGAAGAAAAAACATCTTCAGATCATAGGCCGTAAAAATACAGGCAAGCACTTTACTATTTAAAAATGAAATTACAGGCTCAGGCACGGTGGCTCATGCCTGTATCCCAGCACTTTGGGAGGCCAAGGCAGGCAGATCATGAGGTCAAAAGATTGAGACCATCCTGGCCAACATGGTGAAACCCCATCTCTACTAAAAGTATAAAAATTAGCTGGGCATGGTGGCATGTGCCTGTAGTCTCAGCTACTCAGGAGACTGAGGCAAGAGAATCACTTGAACCCGGGAGGTGGAGGTTGCAGTGAGCCAAGATAGCGCCACTGCACTCCAGCCTGGCAACAAAGTGAGACTCTCTTTAAAAAAAAAAAAGAAAGAAAATAAAGAAAGCAATTATAAGAGTTGAGACAAACGTTTCCTACATTATTTTCCACGTGTAAAATCTTGAAAAAGCCTGTCATTGGACCTGCATTGGATGAGATGAGTCAGATCAAAATGATGGCCACCTGTCTCCCTCTTGAGAGCCTAAGTGCAACTGTGCTCGCTGTGCACTGTGGCTAAGGATGGTGTGTGTGTTCCTGTCCGTCACTGATGCTCCTGGTTACTGCATGTGCCACACCTGTCTGTTCGCCATTCCTAGCATTCTATTTCATTCCTCCTCTGGAGATATTTCAAACATTTGGTCTTTTAACACTGCGGTTAGGCCCTCAGGAAATTTATTTAGGAAAGTCTGAACACGTTATCACCTGGTTTTCTGGAAAGTAGCTTAGCCTAGAAAATAGCTGCAGATGCCAGAAAGATGATCCCTAAAAATGTTCAGGGACTTCTGTTCATTTATCCCAAGAACATTGGCTTCTACATCACAGTATCTACCCTTACGTGGTTTAGGATTAAAGCCAGGCAATTTTTTACTACACAGTAAGACTTCTGATTCAAAACTTACTAGAACAATAGTTTCTGGCTGGAATTTGCAATCCCTGAAGTCCTAGAAAATAAGTAACTATCTAATTAGAGAAATAATTGTTGTATTTTAAGATCTGAGAGTGCGTACAAGTTTTAATATACATGCCATGCCAGAAGATAGTGTATGCAAGAACTCTTGGGACCAGAAAATGGCCATGGTGGGAGACTGACACAGAAGAAGAATGCTTCCATAGGAAAGAGGTCGCTGGCCTTGGTGCAAGAGGAAGAAGAATGTTCCACTGGGAGCCTGAGCGCCTAATCAGCTCTCAGTGATGAACCCACTCTGTTGTTATGGGTGGTCTCTGTCACTTTGAGTACCAGGCTGGCTTCTCTGCACTGTCTAGCAGTATTCAGATACCCCTGCTGCTCAGCCTGCTTGGCCTTAAAATACAAATCATTGAACTGAGGGGGAAAAAAATGTAACTAGGACGAAAAACCTAATGTAAGAAATCACATAATGCTTTCCAAAGGCATCTACAACTTATTTTTAAATTACTTGCTACTGGGGATTACCCATGGATATCCTTAATAGGCAGGAAGTGTGGGAATTCTGGTGGCCTCTAGGGCAGAGTTCTCAGAGCACCGTTCCGGCAAGGACCAGTGAAAGAGAAAAGAGACAAAGTTAGAGCGTGCTGGGAAGCGGCCATTGCTAAGGCCAGTCTGATTTAAAATGTAGTCATTTCTGCTGAAAAAACAGATCATCCTGTTGGAAGAAGAGGTTGAAGGCAGCTGCCCTCGGGAGGGCTGTGGTGCTCAGCACATCCTGGGCACGTAACGTGTCTGCAGGCCACACCATGCGTGTCCCCGGACCTGCCACCTGGCTTCTGGAGTGGTTCAAGCAGAGCATAGTGAGCCATTGAGGAGACCCAGGAATCTCCTCTGAGACCCAGCTCTCTGCCGGAGAACCCCACACTGACACATTTTCATCTTTCATACCAGAGGCTGTGTTTTTGAGACTGTCTCACTCTGTTGCCCAGGCTGGAGTGCAGTGGCTTGATCTCGGCTCACTGCAACCTCCGCCTCCCGGGTTCAAGTGATTCTCTGCCTCAGCCTCCTGAGTAGCTGGGATTACAGGTATCCACCAACACACCCTGTTAGTTTTTGTATTTTAGTAGAGACGGGGTTTCACCATGTTGGCCAGGCTGGTCTTGGACTCCTGACCTCGTGCTCCACCCACCTCGGCCTCCCAAAGTGCTGGGATTACGGGTGTGAGCCACCATGCATGGCTGGCCTGACCTTTGGAAAAGCCCTGTCACTTTGGAAGTTTGCGTCTTTGAAGAGGCGGTTGGAAACATCCTGACTGCCTGCCACCATTGCTTATCAGACTACTGCAATTCAATGATCCTGCCCAGGACTTCTGGCCCTGGGTTCACCACTGGGAAAACGTGCTTCAGACTGGATAGCCTAAAAAGGAGTAATAATGCCCTTGTAGGTTGTGGAGAAGGGAAAATACGACACCAGTGAAATTGTTAGATCTCTAGGAAGTTGGAGCACAAGGCTTCACGTTTTGAGACCATCTGTGGTTTTCAGTGAACAAGCACTGAGCACCAGCAGCAAAAAACAACAACAACAACAAAAACCTCATTTTTACCTGGTCTTCTAGACATTAAAAGGCAGTTGCATTCCACTCTTCATTATGTTCTACATGTTGCTTCATCAGCATATGCTTAGCTGTAAGTGACAAGTATATTTTCTGAACAGAAATTTACTTAGAAATACCATGTACTTGGGTGTACCAATTAACTGCCTTAAAATTAGCATATTGGTAGTTCTTGGAGAGACCAAGTATAATCTAAGAATTTGTATGAAAGATTTGTATCATTAGAGCCAGAAATAATTTTGTATTAATATATAATATAGATTAACATATATGTACCTGTGTAACTTTTGACATGAGCCTGTAAACATGCTCATATATGTACCTGCACATGTATCCACGTGGTGTGGGTGTTATTCCTTTAGTATGGACTTAAAGTACTTACTCGTATAGCTTGTAACTAAAAATTAGAACAGCTCCCTAGAATTACGAACTTTAAGAGTCTGACCAGAAATTTGCAACTTATAAAAAAGTTACTTTTAAAAATATAAGTTAGGGCTAGGCACTGTGGCTCACGCCTATAATCTCAGCCCTTTTGGGAGGCAAAGACAGGAGGATCACCTCAGGCCAGGAGTTCAAGACCAACCAACCTGGGTAACATGGCCAGACCCCATCTCTAAAATATATATATACACACACACACACACATATATATATGAGTTGTATCTAGAGAGAGAGAGATATATATGATATATTGTATATATCATATATATATAGTATGTATCTCATATATATATATAACTTAGAGTTTGTATCTTCCCCCAAAAGAGGCTGTAATATTTACAGCAGCCTCAAATTGCTCGTAAGGGGTTTGGGTGTGCAGAAGCTTTCCTTTCCCTACCCAGGGCCCTGTGACTACCTAACATGTTGTGTACTGATCTGTTTGCTGGCTGTCTCCCCTGCCCCACTGCTACAACAGAGGCTCCAAGAGAGCAGGGACTTTATTATTCATTACTGCATCCCCAGTAATGAAGGTACTTAGAAAATAATTTTTGAATGAATGAAATCTAAACTGAATCTGAGGGTGTTTGTGGCAGTGTTTGTTTTATTGAATTGTAGAAGGACATAACCGTGTGTTCAGTGTTTTTGTGCAACAAACTTGTACATTTTATTTCACTTGTGTTTTGTCTTAAACCCTACTGCTGGAAACAATTTTATATAATAAGCAATGGGCCCAAAAGTCTGGGGGTTTTTTTGTACTTAGTGCGTTTGTATGCAACAGAGATGCTGCAGCTGATGCCTTTAAACGGTATTCATCATGGAAGGGCTGAGGCCTGTGCTTGGTGTTCCACAGCCCAGGGTTGGGCATCCTGAAGGAGCCAGTGCAGCCGTCACTGTCCCCAGAGCCTGTGGAGATAGAGCCTGTTTGCTGCTTTTTCTTCCCGCTCTCGAGACATGGCTGGAGCACAGTCTTCATTGAATGAAAGTCTGCTGTGATATTGCATAGCCTTGCTTTCTTGAACTAATCTGTTTGCCCTTCACAAGTATTTCTTCTGTCAGGATTAGTTCGTTCCAAGGAGGCTCGTCAGTCTCACAGGTAAGTAGATCTCTCCTGCCGTCTGGACACGTTTCACTCGCAAGTTGAATACAATTTGTATTCAGGCTGGGAACCTGAACACACACTTGTGTTTCTAAGCTTCCCTTTTTTACAGTAGACAAGGACACAAATAATACATAAATCATCCCTAATGCCCAAGAAATGCCCTGTTACTTAGTAATGACAAAATACCGGTAACTTCCAGTTGTTTCTCACTACCTTTTTTCTTGAGTAGGATGATAACAGAATTACAACTCTTGAGGGCAACATATAGGTGGATATTTGTGGTGTGATATTGATGGAAAAATAGCGATCTTTTTCTTTACCTGAGGGAAACAAAGGCAAGAGGGGAATTTGATAGTGCCTCGTAACAAAGGATTTCTGAGTTTTCCTCCCCTTTCTGTGATCTGTCTCCACCTGGAACTCATGTTCTAGCAAAAGACATTTTGTAGGTGAAGAAGTGATTGATGATGAGCATGAAGAAAATGTTGGCAGTTCCAGCCTGGCCAACATGGTGAAACCCCGTCTCTACTGAAAATACAAAATCTAGCCAGGCATGGTGGCACGCGCCTATAATCCCAGCTACTGGGGAGGCTGAAGCAGGAAAATCGCTTGAACCTGGGAGGTGGAGGTTTCAGTGAACTGAGATTGCGCCACTGCACTCCAGGCTGGGCAACAGAGGGAGACTCCGTTTCAAAAGAAAAAAAAATGTTGGCAGAGAAGATATTCTGTTGGCTTTTTTTTGTTAAGGTCTTGGGAAAAGGGAGGAAGTTGAAAAAGTATACCACTCAGTAGCTGGATTAAATTAAACATTACTTCTCACAGTGACTCACCACCCTTGGGCCTCCCTCCCAGATTTTCTGGATCCATAAAGTTAAGAACAAAAACCTATTTTCCTATCTTTCCAGTAAAAGGACCCTTTTTTCTAAGCATAGTCCTTAAATATATAATAGGCTTTTTGTGTACTTTGTCTATTCCCAAATTTTATAATATTTTTAATATTCTGGAGTTGTACTTAGAGGAAGAGATGATTCTGAATGGTGTAGTATAAAAGTACATCCTCCACTCTGAACTCTCCCTGAAAGACCTCCCCTGCATACATGTGTAGAATTCATGCCCTGTCTGTGCCTGCACCTGCGGGTGTGTCTAGCGTGCTCCCTAGGGAAGAGATTTTTATACCATTTGCCTATATTTGGCAAGCTCCATGAAAGCAAGGACTGTTTTTTAACTTTGTGACTGACACTTGGTTACCTAAGTGTTTCACAGTGATTGAGTGGGGACGTTGACGGTACAGACACTGATTACCACTAGGGGGCAACAAGTCACCCTGTTGAGGCTGACAATCGGTTACTATTCAATAATACGATTCCGCGAAGATGTTTATACAGGTAGTTTCTTAAAGTTCTGTTTGTGATTATCTCGAGCAAATGAGGAAAGGAAGCTAGATGTGAAGAATCTTGTGTCCCCATGCTCTCACCCAGAAATGGTTTGGTAGTTACAAAGCAAGGTAGAGCAGTTGAGCAAATAGCCCACCAGGTCCTCTACCGCTACCACCTTCGCCTTTGAATGAGCAGGACTTTGTAGTAAGCGAGTTGTTGAAAAGGAGCTCCACATCCTTAGTACCAGCCTTGGAGCGGGTGGGAGGAAGTAGGCATTGCTGCAGAGCTGAGATGAACCTGCAAGGAGATCATTTCCTCTGGGAATGATCACTGCACTGCGCCTGGCTGGGATGACTCATTAGCTGTGATTCACTTCCTTAGTCTCACCTGTTGAAGATGGCGCAGAACAGTTAGAGCCATGATCAAAAAAGATAATACTTTAGGGTCTCCTGTCCTATGCGCCCCCGGGGAGAGGCCAGACCATTCAGGGTACCAGCTGGAGGTTATAACTAGGGCGGAGTGTGGAGACAGTGTTTTGTATCACTACTTCCTTTTTTTTTTTTTTTAAGGCAGTTTCGCTCTTGTCACCCAGGCTGGAGTGCCGTGGGGGGATGTCGGCTCACTGGCTCACTCCAACTTTCACCTCCCAGGTTCAAGCAATTCTCCTGCCTCGGCCTGCTGAGTAGCTGGAATTACAGGCGCCTGCCACCATGCCCAATTACTTTTTGTATTTTTAGTAGAGAGGGGGTTTCACCAGTTTGGCCAGGCTGGTCTCCTAACCTCAGGTAATCCACCCTCCTCGGCCTCCCAAAGTGCTGGGATTACAGGCATGAGCCACCGGGCGCCCGGCCACTGCTTCCTTTGTCCACTGTACCCAAGAAATAGTCTATTATAAATGGCCTATACATTTTCCTTTTTCTACAGGGCATTGTGTAAAATGTTTAGTTCAATTAACTCACATGGGAAG